ACACCACACACTGATACACACACTGATACAAACACTCACACACTACACACTGATACACACCACACACTGATACACACACACCACACACTGATACACACACTCACACACCACACACTGGTACACACACTGATACAAACACTCACACACCATACACTGATATACACCACACACTGATACACACACTCACATTGATACACACTCACACCACACACTGATATACACCACACAGTGTTACATACCCACACACTGATACACACCCACACACTGATACACACCCACACACTGATACACACTCACACACCACACACTCACACATTGATACACACCCACACACTGTTACACACCCACACACTGATACACACCCACACACTGATACACACTCACACACCACACACTGATACACACCCACACACACACCAAACAATGATACACACACCACACACTGATACACACACTCACACTGATACACACTCACACCACACACTGATACACACACACCACACACTGATACACACACTCACACACCACACACTGGTACACACACTGATACAAACACTCACACACCATACACTGATATACACCACACACTGATACACACACTCACATTGATACACACTCACACCACACACTGATATACACCACACACTGTTACATACCCACACACTGATACACACCCACACACTGATACACACCCACACACTGATACACTCACACATTGATACACACCCACACACTGTTACACACCCACACACTGATACACACCCACACACTGATACACACTCACACACCACACACTGATACACACCCACACACACACCAAACAATGATACACACACCACACACTGATACACACACACTGATACACACTCACACCACACATTGGTACACACTCACACTGATACACACTCATACTGATGCACACCACACACTCACACACCACACTGATACACACACACACTGATACACACACATACACATACACTGATACACACACTAATGCACACACACATACTCATACACACACATTCATAAAATCACACACAATCATACACACACACACACTGATACAATCACACACGCCCATACACACACACTGATACACCCACTCATATACTAACACACTGATACAATAACAACAACTTGGATTTATATAGCGCCCTCCACGCTGGATGGCGTCTCAGAGCGCTTCACAGTAACATATGCACACACTGATACAATCACACACATTCATACACACACTCACACACACTGATACACTCACACACAGAACCAATTTAAATTGTTGACATAGACATGACAAATCTATGCTTCTCTTTTTTCAGTAAAATACATTTTTCAAGTGAAATTCTTCATCAGTGATTGAAATGCCACATGAAGTTTCATGGTGAATAAAATAGTGATTGGTAAAATATTAATAACCTTGCCTTGACACTTGTTAGTGTTATCAACAAACAACAACACATTATGAAAATTGATCGTGGTGATTTCGCAAAATTCCTGACTCCTAATTTCAGTGATTTCAAGAAATCACTAAGTATTTTAGAGATTTTATGACGTTCCCGGGTGAAATACTGTGGTAGGTTCATAATTTTATTGATAATTTCCTGGATTTTGTGAAATCCCTGGTTTCACAATTTTACCGTCACATGTACACCGACACACATTCAACACACTGTTGGGAATACAGGAATGGTCTGCAGTAAAACTAACCACTCTGTATTAGCCAGGGGTTGGCCAGCAATGGACCTAATCATTCTTAGTCTGTCATTAAGGTGCAACAGTAGTGGAACTGATCACTTTATATTAGCCAATGTATGGAGTTGGAAATCTGAGATTAGAGGAAGAGTAACTATTTATTATTTCATTCACTATCACAAGTATCAATACTTCAGCTTTAGGAATAAAACAATGTAAAGCAATTACCATGCTTATGGAAACAACTATTCCTGAATATTTGATTAATATTTCAGCTTTAGGATTTTCTCAAGTATACAATTTAAGTAAATCCAACAGTCAATCATCCCTGGTCCATCAAGGGTGCCTTTTTAACACGTTCTCACAGACATCTCACAGACCAAGCTGTGCCCTGGGGCAGACTGGCTCAGTCACCCACACAACTGTAGCTGGTACCAAGGGCGGAGAGCCAGGACTGTGTTCAGCAGGAGCCAGATTGAAGTATTGGAGGAAGCATTTCGTCGGAATTGTTACCCAGGGATAGATGTTCATGAACAACTTGCTCACAAGTTGACTCTCGATGAAGACAGAATTCAGATCTGGTTCCAGAATCGTCGAGCAAAGCAGAAAAGATCTCACCATGAATCTCAGTTTCTGATTGTGAAAAACGCACTGATGTCCGGTTTAATTGTACCCAAACAGGAGGAGAAACATGAACATCAAAGCATCTAAAACCGGATCATGGGAGTCCTGTAGCTCAGTGGTTAGAGCACTCGCTTTGCAAGCGAGAGACCTGAGTTCAATTCCAGGCAGAGGGCGAAACCTTGGGCAAGTTTCCTTACTCCACACAGAGCCTAATAATAATCCCTCCAAAACCAAAAACAATAATAAAAATTGGTCATTTTCAATCTACGACTGTTTGTGGGACATTGCTGTGCGCAATTGGCTGCCACGTTCGCCCACAAATATACAGTCAATTCACTTTACAGAGTGTTCTGTGAAGCGCTTTGGGACATCCTCCCGACGTGAAAAGCGCTATGTCAAATGCAAGGATTATTATTATTATTATTATTATTATTATCTTTGACTAATGCTACTTTCTCACAGCGTCTTTTTATCAAGTTTCCACAAAAAACCTTGTTCAGTTATATTCTGTACACTATCAGCCCTGTCTTGCAGCAACAAGTTATATTTTACAACAATAAAAAGACTTCATTTCACAATAGCACACACACAGAGTGCAAATATAGACAAAGCATAGACGCAGAGCGCAACTGACAGTCACACACACACACACATACAAAGTACAATTGACAGATACACACAGACACAGAGCACGACTGACACAGACGTAGAGCAAACATGCACCAGCAGTGAAGCAAATGTAACAAGGTGCTTGTATTTATTGAGCACCCTTGATGCAAGATAACATCTGTGAGATAGCCTCTTAACATGAAAGGTACTGTATAAATATAAATTATTGTTGTCGTGTAACACCTGGAAATAAAAGTACAAGTACTCTTCGATCCCTTAATCACCTCCAGGCTTGACTACTCCAACTGCACCAGGGCAAACATGCTTACTGCACTGAACTTTCACCTTCACCTACATGATCTCAATTTCTGACACAGAGGCCAGAGCACTAAAACCTAAACACAACTGACAGTGGGGTCTAAGTTCTGAGTTATGATAACTATGAGCAAAAACATGTGTGTAGCGAGAATCACAATTGCCTTTAATTGTATAGTTAATGAAAATGATTCCAGAATCACCAGTGAAGCTTTTCACGAATTACGTAATTATCCATGGCACTGTGCAAAATAAAAATTATTTTTTGGGGGGTCATCCTTCCACCCCCACTGCCCTCCACCCCACTTGAGTCCAGCCCCCAGCCTGGGTGCAAACCCTTCACTGTCCAGCACCTTGGGATATCCTCCCAAAATGAAAGACGCTACATAAATGCGATTTGTTGTTGGTGGCGTTTCTCTTGGTTTTCCCGGCCAACAAGTCTCCAGATAAAATTAACCATTCACATCACAGCTGGTCGTGGAACAATGTTGAGCACCGATTAAGCGACCGCGGTTGTCTACCGATACGCAATCACTGCCCTTAATAAATACAATAAAGCGTTTCGAGAAGCCTCAACGAAAGACGGGAGGGAAATACCGGGCAAGAGAAAGAGGGTCCCCTTATTTATAATAATTATGGCCCGTCTTTCTCTCCCTCCCTGTCTTTTCCCTTCCCCTTTCTCTTTCTCTTTCTCGTCTCTCTCTCTCTCTCCTCCTCCTCCTCTTCCTCTCTGGCCACCTCTGGCCCAGCAGTGCCTGTAGTGACCTGCTGGAGGCGCCAGTGAGCATGTAGCTACACAGCAGTGTGCGGGGTGTCCTGGCAACGCATTGTTTAGGGGGCGGAGTGGGCAATGTGCGGGATTCCATGTCCCTCCTGTGGGCACAGCCTCTCACACACACACTCACACTCTCTCTCTCTCTCTCTCTCTCTCTGTGATCAGGAGCATTGCAGAGCTGCACCTGACACACACCCCCTCTCTCCCCCTCTCCCCCTCTCTCTCTCTCTCTCTCTCTGCAAAACACTCCTTACACACAGAGCACCACGAACAGTCTCTACCTTTAAGATCCAGACTCCCAGCTTCAGTCTCCAGTGTGCAAACCCCCACTCCCCACCACCCCCCCAACCCGGGGGTTTCATCGCATCGTATCAGTTTGCATCAACACTGTGTGGTACCCACGTTCGCAGGGGTTGGGTGGGCAGCGGTGCTCACCAGGGCTTGTGCAAGGCTTGTGCAAATGGCCCATAAATGTAAAATTGATCTCGTTTGGCAATCGGAGCCAAGAAAACCAAAGGAAATACTTCCTCAGCCCTGGTGAGTAAGCCTCTGGACGAGCACCAGCTACTGTGGCTGCTGCTCCAGTTGCTTTTCATCTGTTTGATGTTCACATATCAGCACAGGGTCTATTATACCTTGATATTTGATGTTTGAGTTTATATTATATAATATTATGCCTTGGGACGTCCTCCTGACGTGCAAGGTGCTGAACAAATGTAATGTGTTGTTCTACCAGAATCTCTATTCCTCATATTTATATGTTCACCGAATACAAATATGTGGATAATTTGACTATTCCTAACCTTGCTCTTGGTACGCTTAACATCAGCGCGGTGTAATGATATTTAGCACGTCCCCCTGGCTGCAAAATGAATGGAAATTTATTTTAATTTGCAGGTACAAAGAGAGATTGAAAACAAAGTATCTGAAAGACCGAAAACAAATAATTTTCTCTGATTCTCTCAATGGACGTCGATGGCGTTTCTTCAAGCCTGGGCTGGATGACTGTCGTGATGGGTATCCATCTTTAGAGGATCAGGGTCTAACAAAAAGTCAAAAAGGTCTCAGTCCTGTGCTTTATAATGTACCACAAGTGTTCAAGCCTAGTCGGCGAGAGTCACAAAAGTTAACCAAAGAACAAATATGTTATTCAAAGATTCCCCCATTGCAACACACAAAAAGATTGCAGATAGAAGAGATTGAATATTTTTTGACTCAGCATCCATTAGCTCTTTATCAACATCTGGAAGAAGGAATACCTCCTGAGGTAAGTGATACCTTGAGAAAATATTCACGTTTTAACAGTTTCTCTTTAAAAAAAATCATATATTTATGTGTAGAAAATAAACTTTGAATAAACTCTTAAAAAGGGATGGGAGTTACTCCCTGTATCTTGGCCAACAATCCTTGACTAAAATTGTTCATTCACTTCATGGCTGTTTGCAGAACATTTTTGTATGCAAATTGGCTGCTGTGTCCGCGTACAGAATATACAGTCACTACATTTTGCAGTAAATCCTGTGAAGTGGTTTATGACGGCTGATATGAAGCCTACTAGATCAAATGTAGGGATTATTAATTTGTAATAGATCCAAATGTTGAAATGTGGGCTCAGACAGGACTAAAATTTGAACAGATAGTTGGACAGAATATCAATAGTCATGGAGGTCATCAGTATATGTTAAGAATTTAACTTCATGCAAACCATGATCTAGTCTGATCTTCTACACAATGCTCATAATTTTGGGATGAAATGTGCATCATTCAATATTATTTCTGCTTCTAGAAATGCAGGCCCCTGCCCCACCCCCTTCCACACCACACAAAAGTTTGGCCCATTGAACATGTTGGCCTGCAATTTTCAGGGCTGGTTTGCAGAATACTGACTGACGAACTCAACTTTTAATATAGTTTGGGACATGACATGTGCGTGCGACTGCAAAGTTGAAGGAAGGCGAACTTGATGGACCTTGGTTATCTTTTGTATAGCAATTCTTATGTTCTTATGATGTGAAGCACTTTGAGATGTCTCGAAGATGTGGTAAAGCGCTATATCAAATGCAAGGAGTATTATTAGTGCACAGAGTGGAAATTTAATAATATGGTAACATCGTCAGAGTTAGTCATCACATTGAATGTTACATTTTTCACTCCTATATTTCAAAATGCTCGCATTTACCTACAAATCACTTGATGCACCTCCCTACCTCTCCAACCTGCCCGCACCCCACTCCTCTACTCATCTCCTTCGCAAAGTTGGCTTGGGTCTTCTGCTCATCCTTTGGCCTCTCTGCTCCACTATTGGTGGCTGAACCTCTAAAACTCTCTGCCTCAACTCCTCCACCTTGCCTTTTTTTTCCCCATCTTCAGGTCACACCTGAAGACTTTCTTCTTTGATGTTGCCTATGGTCACCTCCCCTTTCTCCCCAGCTTGGAGTCAAACAATGCCATTATTCAGGCCTCCAAGATGCCACTTGTGTAAAGGGCACTATATAAACATAAGAACATAAGAAATAAGAGCAGGAGTAGGCCATTCGGCCCCTCAATCCTGCTCTGACATTTAATAAGATAATGACTGATCTTCTAACCTAATTCCATTTTCCTGCCCTATCCCCATATCACTTAATCCCTTTAGTTTTTAAACATCTATCAATCTCAGTCTTGAATATGTTCAAGAGAATTCCATAAATTCACTACCCTCTGAGTGAAGAAATGTTTTCTCAACTCGGTTCTAAAGGGCTGACCTTTAATCCTGAGACTATGATCCCTATTTTTAGATTCTCCAACCAGGGGAAAAAGTCTCACACTGTCAAGACCCTTAAGAATCTTATAGGTTTCTATAAGATCATGTTTAATACTTCTATATTCTAGAGAATATAAGCCTAGTTTACTCAACCTCTCCTCGTAGGTCAACCCCCTCACCCCAGGAAACAACCTAGTGAACCTACATTGCACCCCCTCTAAGGCGAGTATATCCTTTCTCAGATAAGGAGATCAAAACTGCACACAATATTCCAGGTGCAGTCTCACCAAGGCCTTCTACAATTGCAGTAAGACTTCCCTACTCTTGTACTCTAACCCCTTTGCAATAAACACTAACATGCTATTAGCCTTCCTAGTTGCTTGCTGTCCTGCATACTAACTTTCTGTGATTGGTGTACAAGTACACCTGAATCCCTCTGAATACTAACACTATCTAGTCTTTTCCCCCTCTAGAAAATAATCTGCTTTTCTATTTTTTCTACCTAGGTGAATAACTTCCCACTCCCAAATTATACTCCATCTGCCACCATCTTGCCCACTCACTTAACCTGTCTATATCCCTTTGCATCCTCCTTGTGTCCTTCTCACAGCTTACTTTCCCATCTAGCTTGTATCGTCCGTGAATTTAGATACATTAAGCTCTATTTCCTTATATAAGTCATTGATGTAGACTGTAAACAGTTGAAGCCCAAGCACTGATCCTTCCGGCACTCCACTAGTCACAATCTGCCAATCTGAGAAGGACCAGTTTATCCCTACTCTCTGTTTTCTGCCTGTTAACCACTCTTCGATCCATGGTAATATATTACCATTAATTCCATGAGCCCTAATCTTATGTAAAAACCTTTTATGTGGCACTTTGTTAAATGCCTTCTGAAAATCCAAGTACACTCTATCCACTGGTTTTCCCCCATATCTAATCTGCTAGTTACATATTCAAAAAACTCTAAAAGATTTGTTAAGCACGATTTCTCTTTCATAAAACCGTGTTGACTCTGCCTAATCATATTATCATACTAAGTGCCCCACAATGACATCCCTAATTATAGACTCTAGAATTTTCCCTACCACCGATGTCAGGTTAATTGGTCTATAGTTCCCCATTTTTTCTTTCCCACCCTTCTTAAATAGCAGCATTAACTTTGTGACCTTCCAATCAATGGGAACCGTCTCAGAATCCAGTGAATTTTGGAAGATCAAAAACAATGCATCCACTACTTCTGCAGCCACCTCTTTTAAAACGCTAAGATGCAGGCCATCAGGTCCAGAGGATGTATCATTTTTTTTGTCCCATCAATTTATCTAGTACTATTACTTTACTGATATTAATTTGTTTAAGTTTAAGTTGTTTAAGTTCCTCACTAACATTAGTCTCTTGGTTCCCAACTATTTTTGGTAAGTTTTTAGTATCTTCTAACGTGAAGACAGAAGCAAAGTATTTGCTTCTGTCTTCACGTTGGAAGATACTAAAAATGCATATATAACTGCACATATATGCATATATAAATGCAAGTTCTTATTCTTGTCTGACCTGTCACAACAATAGATTTAGATTATTTCATGGGCAGAGAGTGGAACAAAGGGATTTTAACAGTTGGGAAAAATTGAAAGAGCTTGCCCCCAAGCAAAGCAGAGAGAACGGAAAACCAATGAAAATAATGTTAGAAATGGCAATGAGACCAAGTAATGTTTGAAAGGAGGCATGTGAAGAGCACAGATCAGATAGTGAACCCATCACTAGAAAAATAGCAAACCTTTATTTTAGAAAGATAATGGTCATATAAAACAAATAGAAAGGAAACTCAGTTGATGAAAGACAATGGGAAAATAAAATAGAGGTGGAAAACCAGCTTAGAATCTTAAGATTCTTACAGACCAAAGACAACCTTTGCAAAACAAATACAACGTAGTGTAGATTAGGCATGCACTACTAAAGCTGGGCTACGTAAAGCCTTAATGACAATAATAATAAGAAAATAATAATTATTGTATTTGGCATGGAGACTTTCCCTTCAGGAGATGTCTTTAATCAATATCAGGATTACAGATTTACTGTAAAGTGCAGTATTTTGTAGGCGAATGCTCATTACTTTTGGGAATGAGTGTAACCTCACTAAAAAAAAGCATTCTACGGTTTTGGATTTACTAAAGATGACGAAGACATTGACTTCAGCATTGGCTCAGGTGACTAAGGATAAATAACCATAAGAATGTGAGTTTTTTTTTCCAATGTGTGCTTTCTAATGAGTCATAATAATGTTCAAACACAGCTTTTTGAAGATATTGTTGGTATCCTGGATCCCGAAATGCTCCAGTATGGAGAAGATATAATGTCTGAGAAATCTGATGGCATGTATAAAGTTCAAGAACACAATTTAGAAAACATCTTAAACTTAATGGACGATGATACCACCGTGAACACGGAGAGCAAATTAAGGCAAATGGCATTGTAAGTACCTCTGTTCTATGCTTTACAGGGGCCATGTTGAAGTGTTTATTGCTTAAACTTCTATGAGATCCAATAAACCAGTGGTGCAACAAGGCTTCAGGTGCCCTGGTGCAAGAATAGGTTGGGAGCCCCCTTCCCAATTCAAAATTGTGTTTACTATACAGGCACGTACTGGCCTATTGCGAGCCCAGGACACAGGTAAATGTTTCCAAAATGGCTTAAATGTTTTCTTTTGGGTGAGGTGGGATGAAAGCACATTCCGCTGCCAATGAATGGAGCACCCATAACCTCGAGGGCCCTGGTGCGACTGCTTTACTTGCACTATTGTAGTTATGCCATTGCAATATACTCTCTCTTATCCTGTTTTCCTCTCTATGATTCTATATTGTTATCCTCCCAAGCCACACAATGTCTGTGCTAAAAGTGCTAGTTGAGCAGTATGGTCAGAATCCTGGCCAGAGCAGCCTGGGAAAACTGCAGGCAGGTGTATCAGAGCAGTCTGTTGGAGAGTCTTATTCAAATCTGCATGTTGGGAACAACCATAGCTGTGGTTGCAAATCATTGCAACAGGAATCAAATCTGGTGCTATCAGTCCATGGGGGAGAGGCCTTCATGATTGACTCTCTAAAGCACCATTCAACAAGGGAGATACTGGAGATCTATAAGCAGAGTAGTAAACCTAGGGAGACAGTGGAAGCAGAACATGTCATTTGTTTCAAGAACAAATTAGATAGATTTCTGCTAGAAAATAATATTTCAGGATACAGTATATATAGTTTGGGACACAACATGTCAAGTGACTGCCAGGATGGTGGAAAGCGAAATGGATGGACCTTGTGCTTCTTTCGCCAAGCAAATTCTTCTGTTATATAGCCAGACTATATGGGCACTAGCTCTGCTTTCCCTCACATCCACAATATAACCCATCTCTCCATTGCCTCTTACCCCAGGTTGCACCTGAAGTGCGGTACTCCATATACAGTGGTTCTGGTCACTGACCAGGGTTTACAGGCAGTCCAGCAGACAGCAACAAGGTTGATCCCCGGTGCTAGAGCTATGAGCAACAACTAATTAGGACCCTTCAGTCTGGAAGATACGATTCAGATGGGACCTTAAAGTGGTACATAAGATTTTAAGCGGGATTGAGAAAGTAATCTCAGAACAATACTTTTAGATGCACTAAGACACCAGAACCTGATTTAGATATACAAAGGGCAGTTTCAGGAGAGACACCAGGGAGTATTTTTTTACCAACAGAGAAATGAATGACTGAAACAGGTCTCTAGGAAGGATGGTTGAGGCTAGGACGCTGGATGCAATTAAAAAAACAACTTGATAGGAAGACGGTAGGGTGCGAATTCTGGAAAGATGAGATCAAATGTTCCTTCTTCGTCCGAGAATTTCTTGTGATTTTATATGATCTAATCCCTCTATCCTCGATACTCCCAATACCCTTTAATATATCTCTTTTTAAAGCACCTAATTCCATTTTTATATTCTTCAACTACGATTTGTGGCAGAGAATTCCACATTCCATCTACCCTCTGTGCGAAGAAATGTTTTTCTAATTCTCCTTCATTAGTTTTAGAGAATATCTTAAATATGTTTATTCTTTGCTGAGAAATTTATCAAGAAAACACACCTTATTCTCTGCTTTTGGTAAATTTACTCCAGAGAATCATTGTCCCCAGCCTTTTCAGATTACTGCCGACAACATGAGATAAGAGTGCAAAGCAATTGTATGACATTTCACCCACAAATATACGCTCAATTCACTTTACAGTCTATTCTGTGAAGCGCTTTGAGACGTTGAGAAGATGTGAAAAGCACTATATCAAATGCAAGGATTATTATGATTATTATTCAATGAGAATACCCTATTATAAATGAAGACGATGATTGCTTATGGCTAACGGTAATGGTTTGTGTTTGTCAAAAGAGAGGAGTCAAGGCGCAAAAACCCGTACAAGTGGCTTTTGCTCAGGGAAGCAGCAAAGAAAGAAAGCAAGAAAGTGAAACCCAAACGAGTCACCTCAAAACCAATGGAGGAGGAACTAAAGCAAATAACCAAGGAGTTCTGTGAATGGGTTGCCTCTCTGGTAAATGGAGTGAACAGGATAAGTAAAATATTGAGGTTGAAAATGTGCTTGTCTAGAAAATTTTAATCTTACCGCTGTCTCACATCAGATAAAGCACACGCAATAGTACCTGTGCTTTCTGCAAAGTAACCTCTGTACACCATATGGACTCATGAGGCCTCAGCTCTGAGGAGCATCCAGGTCAGAGCTGGTCTCACAAATCTCTGTGTTACAAATCATTTCAAAAATGTATTTTACATTAGAATACATTAGAATACACAGCACAGAAACAGGCCATTTGGCCCAAATGGTCTATGCCTGTGTTTATGTTCCACATGAGCCTCCTCCTGCCCTTCCCCAACTAAGCCTTCAAGCATAACCTTCTATTCCTTTCTCCCTCATGTACCTATCTAGCTTCTGCTTAAATACATCTATGCTATTTGCCTCAACAACTCCTTGTGGTAGCATGTTCCACATTCCCACTACTCTCTGTGTAAATAAATTTCTTCTAACTTCCCTATTTCATCTATTTGTGACTATTTTATATTGATGGCCCCTGGTTTTGGTTTCCCCCACAAGTGGTAACATCTTCCCTATGTCTACCCTATCAAAACCTTTCATCATTTTAAAGACCTCTGTCAGGTCACCTCTTTTCAAGAGAAAAGTGTCCAAGTATGTTCAGTCTTTCCTGATAGATATAACATCTTAGTTCTGGGATATCCTTGTGAATCTCCTGTGCACCCTCTCCAGTGCCTCCACATCTCTTCTATAATGTGGGGACCAGAACGGCACACAATATTCTAAGTGTGGTCTAACCAAAGTTCTATAGTAGTTTACCATAAATTCCCTGCTTTTCATTTCTATCCCTCTAGAAATGAACCCCAATGCCTGGTTTGCCTTTTTTATGGCCTTATATACCTGGGTTGCTACTTTTCGTGAATTGTGTATGTGTACCCCTTGATCTCTTTGCTCCTCTACCCCATTTAGGTTTTTATTTTCCAGGATGTATGTGACTTCCTTATTCTTTCTACCAACATGTACCACTTCACACTTTTCTACATTGAAATGCATTTGCCATTTAAATGCCCACTCAGCAACTTTATTAATGTCTTGCTGCAATTTGTTGCAATCCTCCTCGTATTAACTACTCCCCCCAATTTGGTGTCATCTGCAAATTTTGAAATTGTACTGCTGATTCCTGAGCCCAAATCATTAATGTACATTGTGAAGAACAGTGATCCCAATACCGATCCTTGTGGAACACCACTGCCCACCCCCTGTCAGTCTGAGTAGCTACCCTTTACCCCTACTCTCTGTTTTCTGGAGCCAGCTTGCTATCCATTCTGCTATTTTTCCCCTGACTCCACATGCTCTAACCTTATTAATCAGTCTATTATGTTGTAACTTATCAAACGTCTTTTGGAAATCTAAATATATTACATCTACTGTATTATCCTTGTCTACTCTTTCTGTTACCCCTTCAAAGAATTCAATGAGGTTGGTCAAGCATGACCTTCCTTTTTGAAATCTGTGCTGACTATTCTTTATTACGTTTTCTGTTTCCAGATGTTTTTCTATTACCTCCTTCAGTAAGGATTCCATTATCTTTCCTACTACCGATGTTAAGCTGACAGGTCTATGGTTCCCTGGGCTTGTTCTATCTCCCTTCTTAAATATAGGTATAACATTAGCTATCCTCCAGTCCTCTGGCACTACTAATTTTTTTAGATTTGTTTGAAACAAATTTTTTTTGAGCAAACCAAAATAGGTGGTTGTAACTAAGTACAGTATTTCATGGCCTATTTATAATGTTGGAAGAAATACTGTAAACCTCACATAAGTTGTATCAGTTGAGACCATACATTTAATATGACTTAGGCAAAGTATGAGTTATGTCAAAGTTGCATAGAATATAAACTCTTGAACAGGACTTGGGAAGATGTACGACTTAGGTGATTGTATGATTTATACAGATCAGACTAATGTGAGTTTTACTGTATCAAATGTTTTATAATTACAGTCATTTCTTGTTTTGAAAGGGTGGCGATACCTACAATATAGATGAATCGACTGTCAGGAGCCTGTTTGCCAGTGGTTATGAGGCCAAAGCCGCTGTCAATGTGCCTATTAGTGTGACAGAGCTGACCAGCATACCTCCAGAGTTAAGGAAATCAGTGGGAGTACCTTCAGTGATGTCTCCACTGAAATCCCATCTGAATAGGCTGGACCCAATCTTCGAAGTAAGCAGACCAATGTTCACTTTACTAGAATTCACCTCCTTAATAAATTGGTGAAGGTAATAATAATAATAATAACAACAACAATAATAACAATAATAATAATAATCCTTGCATTTGATGTAGTACTTTTCACGTCTTCTCAACGTCTCAAAGCGCTTCACAGAATAGACTGTAAAGTGAATTGACTGTATATTTGTGGGTGAAACGTGGCAGCCAGCAGTGTCCCACAAACAGTCGTGGATTGAAAATGACCAATCTTTTTTTATTTTTGTTTTGGAGGGATTATTATTAGGCGTGTGGAGTAAGGAAACTTGCCCAAGGTTTTGCCCTGCCTGGAATTGAACCCATGTGTGTCACTTGCAAGGCGAGTGCTCTAACCACTGAGCTACAACAACAACAACAAGATTCCATTTATAGAGCGCCTTTCACGTCGGGAGGACGTCCCAAGGCGCTGGACTCCTATAAGGGATATGGTGGGGGTGGGTAGTGGCTACAGCATGGAGAACGTCCGGGAGATATGGCAGAGAGTGTCTAGGTAGTGGGGATTATGTGGGGGTGATATCTGGGGGTAGCATATCTGGGAGTGAGTTTTGGAGATGTCTAGGGGTCACTGTCTGGGGGGTGGGGCAGGTGAAGATTTGAGGGGAGTCAAAGAATTGTTGGGGAAGGGGCTGCGCCCAGTCACACTCTGTGGTGGTGCCTCGAGGCCAGGTGGTTCTGTTCTCCTCTCCTCACGCTCCGATAACTTCACTCCCCCACTCCCGCACACTGGGCTTGCATGGCAGCTCGGCTGTTTGTGAGTCCTGGGACACTGGGAGCACCAGCAGGTACACAGCAATCCTGTACTTCAAGCCGGGGGCTGCTGCCACACCCCCAACACCCCCTGTTCCCACATCTGTACATCAAGCCTGCCCTTTCAATGGTTCATAGCGGGACTTCACCCATCCTCTTTTGATAGTGATCTCCTGCCAGTTTAAATGGTACCAGCATTCGAGCTTCAACCATCCTTCCTGTTAACATGTTTGAGTCATTAATAACCCTTTGGGTAAAGGAATAGAGGTATTGCCATAGAGATATCACAGAAGTCGTTTTCACACAAGGACATGGACAAAAGCTTTGAGTCGTCCTCATGACGTGAAATGTGCTATATAAATGTAAAGTGTATTGTAAGCTGCATTGTTTGGAGGTGAAAATAGTATCCATTCACTAGACTTTTATGGTTGTGTTTTTGATAGAAATGCGTCAAGAACAGAAAGGCAAAGTTTAGGTATGGAGCGTGGTACCTAGATCCCAAGACATGGGTGAAAAGAGGCTATGATGAACTGCTGCTGGATCCCGGTTTTCGAAGGAGCAGTGATGGTGGATCCAGATTTATAGATTTCACGACTCTAAAGGTAGTAATTTAGGTTATTGACTATTTTCAAATGGAGTCCTGTAGCATACTGGTTAGAGCACTTGCCTTGCAAGTGAGAAGACCTGGGTTCAACCCCCAATTATCCTTTCTCCCTCGCATCCAGTCCCTCACCAGCACCGCCTTCTTCCACTTCCGATGCATCGCCCGCCTCCACCAATACCTCTATCCGAAAGTCGCTGAAACCCTAGTCCATGCCTTTGTCACCTCTCGGCTGGACTATTCTAATGCCCTCCTCCACTACCATCCATAAAATCCAGATCATTCAAAACTCTGCCGCCCACATTCTCACCCGCACCAAACTCCGCTCCCCGATTACCCCAGTCCTTACCAGACTGCATTGGCTCCCTGTCCCAGAGAGGATCGACTTCAAGATCCTCACCTTGTATTCAAATCGCTCCACTCCTCTGCAGCCCCTACCTCTCTGACCTCTCTCCTCAAAACAGTACCCATTACCTTTGTTCCTCCGGGTCTGGCCTGCTCCTCGTCCCCCGAGTCCTCCGCTCCACCCTTGGTGGCCGTGCCTTCAGCCACTATGCCCCGAGGCTTTGGAATTCCCTTCCTTACTCTCTTCGCCTCGTTCCCTCTCTTCCTATTTTCAGGTCTCTGCTGAAGACCAATCTCTTCGACCTTGCCTTTGGTCACCTTCTTCCCTCTCCCCTTGGCTCGGCCCCGGGATCCGTTACTGTGAAGCGCTCTGAGACGCCGTCCGGCGTGGAGGGCGCTATATAAATCCAAGTTGTTGTTGTAGTCAATTGGCGGATCACTTTCTAGGTGTAATAATCCCTTCAAAAAAATATTAATTTGGTTACCCAATGCACAAATGTTTGTGGGATCCTGCTGTGTGCAATTGTTATAGTATATTCTGTGAAGCCCTTTGAGACATCTCAATGACGTGATGAAGTGCTATACCAAATGCAAGGATTATTAATATTATTATTACAAATGGATCAGTAATCAAATATTCAGCTCCAAATTCAGGTTGCTAGGGAGGGTGATTGTGGCCAGGACACTGGATATTTAAAAAAAAACAGATTGGTGCTATAATGGGAGAATGATAGGGTGAGGATGAGATCAAGATGGGCCAAGAGCCTTCTTCATCCAAACTAATTCTGTGAACTTGTGAACAGAAGAGCTGGAACATAAGTACAGAATGTGAAAAAGAGGTAATTCATCCATCAGACTGGCTACCTCCACATCCACTCCGCCACCCACGTCTGCGGTCACCCCCTCGACCTGGTGATCACTCAAGGCCTCACCGTCTCAGATCTCACCATCATTGACAGAGCGATGTCAGACCATTACTTCATCTCCCTTAACTCCTCAATCCCTCTCCCCACCGCCACCCAACCCACCTCCATCACCTACTGCAACTGGAAAAAATTTCCCCACCACTCTCGCCCACCACCCCCCATCCCGCTCGGCTGCTTTGGAGTCATCTGAACTCCTTCCCCTCTTGGCTTCCTCCCACAATGACCTATCCTCCTCGGTCACTGTTCTCCACAGCTCCCTCTCCTCCACTTTCGATTCCCTTACTCCCCTCTCTTCCCGAACCATCTCCTATTCAGATAAGTCACCATGGTACACCAGCCACCTCCACTTCTTGAAGACAAGTGCATGCCGTTGAGAGCACCGGGCTTAAATCAAACTTAATGATCCATCAGCAGATCTGGCTGGAACTTTTCAAATCCTACCACTTCGCTCTCGCCCCCTCTAATTCATCTTTCTACTCCAAGACAATCTTGGAGGCTAAGGGCAACCCCAGGCTCCTCGTCTCCATCACCAACTGGCTCATCCGTCCACCCTCTCATGCCTCACCCATCCTCACCTCAATGCCAACTGTGAGGCGATGTTGGACTTCCTCAAATCCAAAGTTGATGGGATCCACCCAGCTGCCTTTGCCGTTCCTTCTACTACCCCCATCCCCATCTCCCCCTCCCACCCCGGCCCCTACCCATCCCTCCCTCCACACCTTTGAACCTGTCTCCCACTCCTCTCTCACCGCCACTATAACCACCATGAAACCGACCACCTGCTCCCTCGACCCCATCCCTACCCCTCTCCTTCCCTCCCAGCTACATCTTCTTGCCCCTCTACTCACAGACATCATAAACCTCTCCCTGTCCACTGGTACTGTTCCCACCCCATTCAAAACCGTCGTCATGACTCCTATCCTCAAAAACCATCCCTGGACCCATCTGTGTTCTCAAACTACCGCCCCAAACTCCTTTTCCTCTTCAGTATCCAGGAATGAATTGTTGCTTCCCAGCTTCTATCCTTCCTCTCCCGCCACTCTATTCACGAGCCACTCAAATTAGTTTTCCATGCAGCCCACAGCACAGAAACAGCCCTGGTCAAAGTGACAAATAACATTCTGTCCATCTGCTTTCAGGGCTCCTTCTGCCTCCTCGTCCTTCTTGATCTCTCTGCTGCCTTCAACACCGTTGACCACTCTATCCTCATCCACCACCTCTCCTCTCACCTCAACCTTCATGGCTCTGTCCTTGACTGGTTCAGATCGTACCTCTCACACTGCCTCCACTTCATCTCCACAAACGGTTTTGCCTCTAGCCCCTGCACCGTCTCGTGCGAGGTTTCTCAGGGCTCTGTCCTTGGTCCCCTCCTCTTCAATATCTATATGCTCCCTCTTGGTGACATCATCCACAGACATGGGATCAATTTCCACATTTATGCAGATGACACCCAACTCTACCTCTCTGCCTCCACCCTTGACTCCAGGACCACTGCTTTCCTGACAGAATGTCTGGATGAGAGCTAACTTTCTTCAGTTGAATGTCTCCTGATTGGCACCTCAGGCTCTGACAGCATCACCATCCATGGTTGCACATTCCACCTTACTAAGCCAGGCCGGAACTTTGACGTCTTGTTTGACCCTCAACTATCCTTTCTACCCCACATCTGTGCCATGACCCTCTCTGCCTTCCCCCACCTCCGCAACATCGGCCAACTTCATCACTGTCTCACACTGTCTAACTCCTTGCTTGTCGGCCTCTAACTCTGCAGCCTGTGTCCGCTCCTGCATTAAGCTCCATGACCCTATCATCCCCGACTCCACTGGCTTCCCATCACACAGAGGATACAGTTCAAGATCCTGGTCCTCACCTTCAAAGCCATCCATGGTCTTGCTCCCCCTACCTCTGTGACTTCCTAACCCCCTACCATCCTGCCCGCTCCCTCTGTTTAGCGGGCTCTGGCCTGCTTCACATCTCCCACCTCATGCGCCCCACCATTGTCGGGTGATCCTTCTGCTACTCTGGAACTCCACCCCGCAATCCCTCCACCTTGCCAAATCCCTTGCCTCCTTCAAGACACATCTCAAGACCCTCCTCTTCGACCTTGCTTTCAATCACCATGCTTCGCCCCCGCCCTCCATCCTCCCCAATCCTGACCTCCAGCTCGGGTCCGAAACTCTGACTGTCCAACGCCTTGGAGTGTCCTCCTGACGTGAAAGGCGCTTTACAAATGTAATTTTGTTGTTGTTGTTACCTCCAAAATCCTGGACTACCCTACAACAACAACAAAAACAAAATTACATGTATAGTGTGCCTTTCATATTGGGAGGACGTCCCAAGGTGCTGGGCAGTCAGGGGTCAGGACCTGAGCATGGGGTGAGGGAAGGCAGAGAGGTGGGAGGGCGACCAAAGGCACGTTTGAAGAGGAGGGTCTTGAGACCGGCCTGAAGGAGGCAAGGGAGGAAGCGAGGTGAAGGAACTGTGGGATGGTGTTCTAGAGTGTGGGGGCAGAGAGGCTTAAAACCCGGCCACCGATGGTAGGGCAGGTCGGGTGGGAGACATGGAGCAGGCCAGAACCTGCTGAGCGGAGGAGCGGGCAGGTTGGTAGGGAGTCAGCAGGTCAGAGAGGTAGGAGGGGGCAAGGCCATGGATGGCCTTGAAAGTGAGGTCAAGGATCTTGAACTCGATCCTCTGAGGGATGGGGAGCCAGTGGAGTCGAGCGAGGGTGGGAGTGATGGGGTCATGGAGCCTGGTGCGTGAGAGTACACGCATTTTGGATTATCTGCAGCTTGTGAAGGGAAGAGTTGGGAAGGCCGATGAGGAGGGAGTTCCCATAATCGAGCCTTGATGTGATGAATGCATGGATAAGGATTTCGACAGCCTGAGGGGTGAGGCAGTGGCGGAGTCTGGCCATGTTGCGGAGGTGGTGGTAGGCAGTGGATGTGGGGGAGAAAGGACAGTTCACGGTCAAACAAGACACCCAGGTTCCTGATTGTCATAGTGAGGTTACCCTAGGACTTCATCCTTCTCACTTTAACTTCTGTGGGAAAGCTTTTTGACAAGTAGAAAGGAAAAAAATATATAGATTCAAGGACCATTGTCCTGCAACTTAAGATTGTCCTGAATTTTGGAAAATTCTAAAATTCCGACTTAAATCTTGTGAAAAACTGGCTTCCAATACTGAATTTAAAATGTGTTCAAAATTCTGCACATCTTAAATTTTAATATAATGGTCGAGTTTTCGTCGATTGTTAGTTTGCACTACTCAGGTACTCACTAGTTAAACTCATTAAGTCATTGGGGTGACTCAGTTAGAAGCTTAAAATGAAGATTTTCCTGAATGCAAATTCATTGTATAGATCAGGATATGATTAAAATCGGGATTTCTTGACAAAAAGAAAAGTGTAAATGTTTGAGCTGGTAAATCAAACAGTAAGTGCTCACCACCTCTGTTTGCTAATTGCACATTTTGCGTTTATCTTACAGCTTCAAGGTGGGACTAACATGTGAACCTCAACTATTGTATTTTATCTTCTTTGAAAGCAACCTTGTGCTAAATTCTTGAATAATACACTAGATGGAGCACTCACAGCATTAGAACTCCATTTGGGAAGGAGAGAGAGAGAAAAGGATTTATCTCCTGTGTTTCATTAAATTAGAGATTTTAAATTAGAGAAATTAGAACAATTGGGTTGCTCATTTTTTATTTCTATGGCAACTTTTCTTCTCCAATTCTCTCACCTACACTCATAAAGTGGTCATTATTCATGTACGAACCTGGGTAGCGAATGTTGGAAGAATAGTCAACAACAGGCAGCTTCACCTGACACCTACCCTGACTCAGGTGGTTGCACTTTCTCCTCTGAGTCAGGAGTTTGTGAGTTCAAGCCCCACGTGTGGTCCTTAAAGTCACAGTCTAGATGGGGAAATGCTGCATTGTAGATGTACTGTTCTTCGACTTTAAAATAAGGTCCTTTCTGCCTGTTCAGATAGATTTTAAAGATATCTGGGACATTACTAGTACCAAAGGGGATTCTAATAAGGCTGAATAGTACCAACCAGTGATGCAGAGAAGACTGACAGGAAATTATCTTATCTTTCGTAGAATCATAGAATTATACAGCACAGAAGGAGGCCATTCGGCCCATTGTGGCTGTGCTGGCTCTTTGAAAATAGCTATCCAAATCAATCGCACTCTCCCACTCTCTCCCCATAGCCCACAAACTTGTCCTCCCCAAATAATTATCTTCTTCTCTCTAAAAGTTGCAATCGAATCGGCTTCCACCAGCTTTTCAGGCAATGCATTCCAGATCCCAACAACTCACTGTGTGAAAAAATTTCTTCTCATCTCCCTTCTGTTTGTTTTATCAACTATTTTAAATCGGTGTCTTTGGGTTACCAACCCACCCGCCAGTGGAAATAGTTTGCTTTCAAGCAAAAGGACATTCTTCCAAAAAATATGCTCTACGGTATACCCTGTATATATATGTATATATAGAGCACTATAGGGGGGTGGGCTAATTCATTTAACCTGAGCTACTGCTTTTTTTAAAACTCTTTTTTTTATTGCTTTGTTAAAGGATAAGCACCAAAAAGGGCTCTACGCTACTTTGGCTTTCAGAGATTTCATTGAGGCTAAAGGAGCCAGAAAACCAGAGGTAAAGAGTACACAAAGGCATAGACATATCTATGATAAAACATACCTGCAAATTCAGGTGTATTTGCCAATATGTTTCAAACCATTGTAAAACTATAGTTGTCTCACAAATAAGGAGACCTTGGTCAAAATATTTTCTGAATCTTTAAAATATTTCAGATCTGACAGCTTTAATTCACATTTCAATATATGGAGGAATAATCAGAATATGTTTCCCAGCTACATATAAACTATTTATGTATAATTAAACTATATACCGTATAACTAAGTATTCTAAGTCCGGTAAATCTTAGTTTAAAAAAAACAACTGTTCTGGTTTTATATTTTTCAGTTCATGCAGCAATTGCTTACCATAAAGGAGGATTCAAAATTCACAGACTATGCAGAAATGCCACTGCATAACATAGAAAAGTTCAGGCGCAAAGCTGCTTTGCAGCATGTTGGTTTGGCCATGTATTAGCAGACTCCATCAATTGTATTGTTTTATCACAGTTTACTTTATGTTATAAGTTTCCAAGTATTTCAATCTTCCCCTTTTTACAGCTTTTACTTGGACCAACAATTTTCCTGATAATTATGTATTACGCTATGAATAAACTACATTCTGCCAAGATTGCTAAATTCTGTATTTGTGTTCATCTGTTAGTTATGTGCACAACACAGATCATTTAACACAAAATCGTGCAGCTGAACTTAGAAATGTTGCTTAAATGTGATTGTATATTTTTCGTTCTGGTCGTGTAATAGCAACATGTACTGTATGTGAAATTACTAACAGCAGATGTAAGACAAATGTGCATAATAATGTTTCACTGAATTTAAAATAGTGGATGTGCGTGTACCTTTGATGCTATCATGTTTGTAGGTTGTTGATTAAACCCCAAAATGATCCAGATGTTTTATCAGTCTAGGTTTCTCTGTGCTTAGCATAAGGTGCTTCTAAAATGATGTTCAGAAGCAGCTACTACAGTACGTATTCAGCACTGTTTTCTCTAGCAGTCTGAGACTACGCTATACCATAGAGCTCCTAATCCAAACATAGATGTGAGGTGGACACTGGCACGTAAAGAGTTTTCAAGAAAAATTTATACCCAGAGAGTGATCACGATATGGCAGCCTGGTTCAGTATATTTACAAATCCTATGCAATTCCACATTGTGAATACAGCCTTCATTGTAAATAGCCTGTGATAAATAGACTGAAATATTTGTAGTATTCAAACATCACCCAGAGAGGCACAAGATTTCTTCATTGTTGGAAATCACAAGACAACAACAACAACAAGATTACATTTGTATAGCGCCTTTCATGTCAGGAAGACGTCCCAAGGCGCAGGATAGAGTGCAGCATTCCGAGCTGGGGTCGGGGGGGGGAGAAGGGAGGGAAGGGGGGTGGCCGATGGAATGGTCAAAGAGGAGGGTTTTGAGACGGGACTTGAAGGAGGCTAAGGAAGTGGTGAGGCAGAGTGACTTGGGGATGGAATTCCAGAGGTTGGGGGCAGAGTGGCTGAAGGCTCTCGCGCCAATGGTGGGGCGGGTGGGCCGGGGGAGGTGTATCAGGCCAGAGCCGACTGAGCGGAGGGAACGGGCGGGTTGGTAGAGGTTTAGGAAGTCGCAGAGGTAGGGTGGGGCGAGGCCATGGAGGGCTTTGTATGTGAGGACCAAAATCTTGAACTGGATCTTCTGAAGGATAGGGAGCCAGTGGAGTCGGGCGAGAGTGGGGGAGATGGGGTTACGGAGTTTGGTGCGGGAGAGGACACGGGCTGCAGAGTTCTGGATTATCTGCAGTCTGTGGAGGGAGGAGTTGGGAAGGCCGACAAGCAGGGCTTTGCATAGTCGAGCCTGGAGGTGATGAAGGCATGAACAAGAGTTTGAGAGGGATTGCCTGGTGCCCTCCCCCCTCCCCACCCGCCTCCTGCACTCACAGCGCGATGAGTGGGAGAGACGCTGTTGTGATCCTCTCCGCAGCGACAACCCCAATAGGTAACACAGAGAGAGCAGCGCCACAGCCGGACAGCGGGGCGGGGACCCACGGACACTGGGGGGGACCCACGGACACTGGGGGGGACCCCCGGACACTGGGGGGGATCCCCGGACATTGGGGGGGGGAACCCCGGACACTGTGGGGGGGAACCCTGGACACTGGGGGGGACCCCCGGACACTGGGGGGGGGACCCCCGGACACTGTGGGGGGGGACCCCCAGACACTGGGGGGGGGGACCCCCGGACACTGGGGGGGACCCCCGGACACTGGGGGGGGGACCCCCGGACACTGGGGACCCCCGGAAACTGGGGACCCCCGGACACTGGGGGGGGAGACCCCCGGACACTGGGGGGGGGGACTCCCGGACACTGGGGACCCCCGGACACTGGGGGGGGAACCCCGGACACTGGGGGCGGAACCCCGGACACTGGGGAACCCCCGGACACTGTGGGGGGGGACCCCCGGACACTGGGGGGACCCCCGGACACTGGGGAGCCCCGGAAACTGGGGACCCCCGGACACTGGGGGGGGGGGACCCCCGGACACTGGGGACCCCCGGACACTGTGTGTGTGTGTGGAGGCGCTGCTCTGGAGGCGGATTTCCAGCAAACAGCTGAAGGATAATTGAAGTTGTTTGTGCGGGGCCTTAACCATCACTATTACCATCACCACAGCGCCCCCCCCCGAGCCCCCTGCCCCCCCAGCTCCCTGCCCCCCCCCCCTGCCCCCCCCCTGCCCCCCTGCACCCCCTGCCCCCCACAGCCCCTGCCGGGGAGATAGGTTGAGGGATTGGGGAAATAATAATAATAATAATAATAATAATAATAGGGCAAAAGATGCTGTTAAGGGTGGCTGGGGGTGGGGAAAGGGGGACTGTGGCTGAGCTTGGCAGTCAGTGCTGTGAAGATGGAAGAACGTCAACTTGATAAGACCCCAGATGAAAGGTTGAAGATGAGGTTTGAATAAATCGTTGGTTTGATATTCTGTACTGTCTCCGTGAGCTGACGTGAGCCAATGCCTGAAGTGCGGAGATGCTGACGGGAGCCAAGCAGGAAAGCCTTTGTCTTGTCAACATGATAAACATAAGAAATAGGAGCAGGAGTAGGCCATTCGGCCCCTCAAGCCTGCCCCGCCATTTAATAAGACCATGGCTGATCTTCTAACCTAATTCCAGTTACCCGCCCTATCCCCATATCCCTTTATCCTTTAGGTTTTAAAAATCAATCTCAGTCTTGAATATGTTCAATGACATCCTGATGGAAGAGCTCCCTCTTTCACCAATACTGGTGCCAGTGGTCCACAAAATAAGGCATTATACAAATGCAAGTTCTTCCTTTTCTCCAGCCAGATCTTGTTGCATGTGGAGTCCCAGTACACAGCAAGTACACTTAGCTAAAACCTGCTTCTTTTAATCACAGGCTCCACATGTGGTTCCAATGCGAGTTGGGGTCAAAGTAGGAGACATGTTCCTTCAGGATACCATTCTGTGTGATGGCCAAATGGATGCCTTTTATAACTACCACATGGGTGTAACAGGTAAGAACTGTCACTGAATAAATACAAGGTTTGCATTTAAGTACTGGAAATTAATTGCATTTCCCTCTGTTTTCTAACCTCTCTGAGGATCTGTGGTGTTTAGTTCTAAGGCTACCAGCTGCCCTCCAGTATCTCATTAAAGTGGCCGTACTTCATGTGTGAATCCGAGTGGTAAAGGGTCACTGGGCTGTTTGACCATGAGAGGAGATGGAATATCACAGACAAGTCTCTTCCTGTCCACACACAAGCACCTTCCAGCCAGGACCATTGAATGTGATAAGAAGTGGGAACACTGGCTGTATTTTTCCTCCTACTTATACAAACTAATTGTAACATCCCATCTGCTGCCAAGCTGAGACCAGGTAACCTGGCACAAATCTGGGTCTTCCAAGTCTCAGTTCAACGCCAGGCAGTGCCTTTGTCAACCAAGTGCTCAAAGAGAGCAGCTTGGGAATGGAGCAATCTATATGCAGGGTTTGATAAATTTATAAGATAGTATTGTTCTGATTAAAAATGGGGGGCGTTATTTGAATAGAAAATGTTCTTTTTGTTTCTATTTAATCATGTATTGTAACCATTTCTTAAAATTAGATACTGAAATAATGGGCACAATGTGTTTGAGCTCAGATTGCAATCCAAAGTGCCTGTTCCCAGCCTCCAAGACACAGTCGTGTATTAACTACCTCAGCTGTGGAGGTGCTCATCGATGATTGGAAAAATGTGAACAAATTTACTGGAACAAACCTGAATCCTTTCTGAAGTTCAAAATATGGAGGAGGTTAATTCTGTTCTGAACTGTAAAGGGAACATGACTGTTGACTAAAGATGCTCCTACAAAATACACAGTCACTACACACTTCATAGTTGTGAAGCACTTTAAACATCCTCGCGAATAGAAACATACTATTCTTGGTGGAGACCCAGGCATCCTACATGGCTCAGCCAACTTAAGACCAAAAGATTCTGTGGTTGAATTCCTTGGAAGCTCAAGCTTTTAACCTTTTTAGAGCAACAATATATCTTTAAAATTATCCTCTGTGGTGACAGATAAGCAAAGTCACCCGAGGGCAGTACTTTTACACTGTGATGACTGGCCTAACAGAAGCCAGGAAGGTGTGTGTTATCCTAAAACCACCTTGGAGGGTGTGAATGTGTGAACCAAAGCTGTGCAAGCTCATAGAACGGACGTAGATGTAAAGTAGCATGTTACTTGATAGCCATCATTATGTATAGCTACGGTCTCTTGGCCATGCACATATTTATATAAAGGTTTGAAGCTACAGAACGTTTCCCGAATTACTTTACTGCATCGCCACCTTCTCCGCTGCATCGAGAGGACGACCTCTCGATGCAGCGGAGAACGTGGCGATGCAGTGGCATGTGAGTCGAGAGGAGCAGGACAAGTTTGCTGTACAGTCCCAGAACCGAACTGAGGCAGCACAGAAAGCTGGCTATTTTGAAAAAGAAATTGTTCCTGTCTCCGTCCCTTCCAGGAGAGGTATGTGCTGTACTCCTAGGAGGAGAGATTTTGAGACTGACTGGTTCATCTGCACGAGCGCGTGTGAGTGCGTGTAGGAGAAGGTTTCAGAAAGTTGCATATTCTAAGCTTTTTCAAGCCTCAAAAACAAATGTCATAGAGGGGACCTCTATAGAGGTATATAAGATGCTGAATGAGATTGAGAAAGTAAACCTACAATAATATATTCAGATATACCAAGCCAGCAGAAAACAAGGTACAGGTTCAGAGTTGTAAAGGACATTATTTAGGACACACAACAAGAAGTGTTTCTTTACACGTTGCTGCAACTGCAGTAGATTACCAGGAGGGATGGCAGAAGCTAGGTTGCTGGACACTTTTTAAAAAAAACTATGCGGTAATGAGAGATGATAGCATGGATATTCTGGAAGGCTCAGATTGAATAGGCCGAAAGGTTTTATTTATCCAAACCTCTTTTGTGATCTTATGTCATCCAGTCTGCCCTAAACCCTATGGGCTTGCAAGAGGTCTTCCAAACTATTTGGCACTCAACCAGACAGAGGCCAACATTATTCACTTCGACTAACATATGTGCCACACTTGTTTTTAAATGTATAACACTTATAATGAAATTAAAATTTTATTTGGTACTATTGTGTAGCCTCGAAGTGCTACATTTTAATTAGGAGCCTTAATAATCTAACATCATCCTCTCTCTCTCTCTCTCTTCAGGGCCTATCGAGGTGTCAACCGATGAGTTTCCCCGTCACGGAAGCACCTTCGAAGCCATGTCTAAACTAAAGCCGGCTTTTGCAAAGGGCGTATCTGGCACTGTCACTGCTGCTAATGCTTCAGGTCAGCAGAAAGAATCACTTTTGTAATTTGCTTATAAAGTCGTTGAAAAGAAGGCAGTAACTTTACTGACAACACACTCTGTTTGCTGTTCTGCAGGAATAAATGACGGGGCCGCAGCTGTGATTCTGATGAAGAAATCAGAAGCTGACAAGAAATGCCTGAAACCTTTGGCTCAGATTGTATCCTGGGCCGAGGCTGGTTTGGATCCTGCCATTATGGGAGTCGGGCCTATAGCAGCAATAAGGAAGGCCGTAAGTAATACAAGAATATTGTTAATACTTATACCTCTTCACAGCATAGAGCCTTAACCAGACTCAGACATGTTCATTTATTAGCACAACTCTACTTTTATATGGTGTTTCCTGTTTTGGGAATGGGCTATCCTGCAAGTGAGAGAATTGGCAGCTATTCTGCCCCCAGGACTCTGCTATTGTTTTTTAAGCACCTGCAGGAGACGAGACTGGGGTCATGGCTCAACTCCAGGTATCTCCCTTTCCCATTTGGAAAAGGTCTGCTCGGTCACTCCTCACATGGCTGATATCATTGACTGAGGAGCGGTCAAATTGTGTCCCCCTGAAGTAGGGTCAAGTAGATTGTTTTCTTTTCAACCAATGATTCACCCACTGTGCATTCCATCATCTTCAGATTCAAGGGTAATGACTTAGATTTACTATTTATTCTAGGTAGAAAAAGCCGGCTGGACGCTGGATGAAGTTGATCTCTTCGAAATCAATGAAGCTTTTGCATCACAGTCTGTAGCTGTTGTCAAGGAACTGGGTATAAACCCAGAGAAGGTGAGAAATGTAGATATAAAAATTGGCACTACAACTAAATGCAATTGATCCTTTTTACTTCCTGATTCACCCAATGGGTCAATGTGGGATGTAATAAAACAACAAATTGCATTTATAAAGCGCCTTTCATGTCGGGAGGATGTCCCAAGCCACTGCAGTCGAGGGTTTGCATCCAAGCTGGGGTTGGATTCGGGAGGGATGGGGGCCAGGAAGATGACCGGTCAGAGGAAGGTTTTGAGGACCTTGAAGGAGGTAAGGGAGAGTTGAGGTGATAGGGCTCTCGTTGGAGTTCCACAAAGTGAGAGCAGATAGGCTGAAAGCCTGACTGCTGATGGTAGGATAGGCAGGGGACCTGAAGCAGGCCAGTGGAGTAAGGAGAAAATTAGGGAAAAGGTTTTCCCTCTTTTTTTAAAAAAATGCATTTTTTGTGTTTGTCTTTCTAGGTAAACATCCAAGGTGGTGCTATTGCTTTAGGTCACCCTCTGGGAATGTCTGGGTGCCGCATTCTGGTTACACTTCTCTACGCACTGGAGAGAACAGGAAAAAAGCGTGGCATTGCTTCTTTGTGTATAGGAGGTGGAATGGGAATAGCTATGTGTGTTGAAAGGCAATAAATTACACCTAAATTTTACTACAAGAACTGAAGATACTCTGCAGCTAAGCTACTGACTGGATAAAATTGAGCTTTTATTTTAGAGGTTACAGCCTGATTCCAATGAAATGTAGGTGCATTTTGTTTTTATAATGAATGTGTAAAGTAGGTAGGTTTTAAAACTATTCAAAACTTCAGTCCACATAAAATGGTTCTGAAAATTAGTGTAACTTTTAAATATTTGATTAAAAGTACTGAAGTTTGAAATCATAGTAATATTGTGTATGTGGAATCCATACTTTTGTTAAAATTCATAAACTCCTTCCTATTATCTCTCAATTCAGATTGACCATTTTTTTCTTTATGAAATAAATTGCTCAATGTACCATTGCTGAATCTTGTAAACTGACTCTCAAATTACATCAAGTGCCAGTATTTATAGAAGGGCAAGATGGTTGAATACATGTGAGAAAGCAGGGGAACATTCATTGTATTTTAATTTTGCTTTAATTGATTTACAAATGCTGCCCTAATACTTTTGAGCATTTTATCATTCCCCATGGTAAGATCAGCAACCAAGAATCAGAGAGGTTACTTATTTGGGGAGATAATAATCATCCTTGTATTTGATATAGTGCCTTATTACATCCTTCCCCAGTAGTATTTTTAATTAATGTTTTCCCCAGTGAATTTGTGTGAGGGAGAAATCATGTCCACAATGAAATAACATACACAATTAATTAGATTTGAAAAGACCAGAAGCACAACATCAACGTTTATTCATGAAATTAAGGTGGTCTCTTAACAGCTCCCTACATAGATGGGCTGATCACTTGACAACTGTCACATTTTATTTCTGAAGGAGCTTGAAGCACAACTGTCAATGTACAGGAAATAATTTTGCACAAATAACTTGAAAGAGTTGACTATAGGTAACAAAGTAAGAGGTCTTTTAAATCCGGTTTGTGCCAAATAGCACTAAACAAGCATAGTAAATTAAACAGAGCACTAAACAAGTGGCACTGAATTTCAGACAAGTATGACAAGCTGCTCAATCTAGAACAGAAGTACAAGAAGCACCTGATGGATGCCAAGAGTTAAACATAAATTATAATAGCTGATTTTAGAACTCAGGTGCTTCAGCCATTAAGCTCTCCACTTTGAACTGCATCTTGGTAACTCTTTCCTTTGTCTTGCTTTTCATCTGGGTAAAGTTTGATGAGATCATCAATTCGCAGGATGGTTATAGCAGCTTCTGTTGCAAACTTCAGACTCTTGACTTTAACCATAGTAGGCTCAAAGACACCAGCTTGTTTGTTGTCCCTTGGCTTCCCATTCAATAAATCAAGACCAATCCTGCACAAACAAAATGTGAATTTGATTAACACTGTTTTAATAGCCAGTCACTACAATATTAGTAAAACATTCATAATTTCCGATTGAATTCTGACAACTCAGCCATAAAAGTTACTTTAACAAGATGGAGAAAATCAATTTTGCACTTTACTGCTATCTGGGGCACCAGGTCACCAAAAATCAATGATTGCTCATGAATTGCAACAATGTTCAAATTTAGTTTCATCGCTGATTCAGACAACAATGGGTCTCAAGTCACAATCTTTTGCAGACCACAGTACAATAAAATTTTTACCATTTCAAAGTTTTGCGATCAGGATTGACCTGAGCTTCGTTGTGGAATGCACGCAACTTTGCAACAAGGTCTGTAGAATCCTGAGCAGCATTCACTGCCAGAGTCTTAGGAATAACCAACATGGCCCGGGCAAATTCTGCAATGGCAAGTTGTTCACGTGATCCCTAAACAAAAAGACAACCAACAGTTAAATACATGAAGTACTTTTAACTTATTTTCTTAAAATAATTTTTAATACTGCAAATTAATAGGGACAGTAATCCCTGGTTAATCAGCTCAAAGCATACGTTAAAAGTGCCCTCCCCCAATAATCTTGAAATACAATTAAACCCATACCAAACTAGTTGCATAGTTTTCCAGGTAGATGGAGAGTGCAGCTTCCACAGCCCCACCTCCTGGAACTAAAGACTTGGACTCAAGCACTCTCTTCACAACACAGAGTGCTTCATGTCGGGAGCGCTCCATCTCATCACACATGAAATCATTTGCTCCTCGCAGAATGATTGATGCAGAATTACGGGCCTTTGTACTGAAAATACAAATTAAACTTTACAACAATAGTACTTGTGAGGGTTGGGTTAAACTCATTTTAAAATGTCAGCATCAATTTATACCTCACTTTTAGAAATCAGAATCTAGATCCCTTTTTCAATCACAAACATTGTGTGCACTGCTCCTGAATGAACAATACCTATTGCTTATATACTGTTATGCAAAGCAATATTCATTGCCGACTTAAACCAGGAATAGATGTGACAGTTCTACTTTCATCAGCAAACTGCTTAGATTATATTTATATGCACAACAAATTTAATCTGCATCTGTGCAGTCAATATAAAAAAAATTACAAACCATTACAATCCCAACATCTTTTTCAATTCTGCAACACTAACAGTAACATTACAAGATACTA